CTGCTGGGGACCACCGGGGATCCATCCCTGAGCTGTGCCCCGCTGCTGGGACCACCGGGGATCCATCCCTGAGCCACACCCACTGCTGGGGACCACCGGGGATCCATCCCTGGGCTGTGCCCCACTGCTGGGACCACCGGGCATCCATCCCTGGGCTGTGCCCCGCTGCTGGGACCACCGGGGATCCATCCCTGAGCCACACCCCACTGCTGGGACCACCGGGATCCATCCCTGGGCTGTGCCCCGCTGCTGGGGACCACCGGGGATCCATCCCTGAGCCGTGCCCTGCTGCTGGGACCACCGGGGATCCATCCCTGAGCCTGTCCCGCTGCTGGGACCACCAGGGATCCTTCCCTGAGCCTGTCCCACTGCTGGGACAACTGGGGACCCTGCCCTGGCTGTGCCCTGCTGCTCGGGACCACCGGGGATCCATCCCTGGGCCACACCCCACTGCTGGGGACCACCAGAGACCCTGCCTTGGGCCATGTGCCACTTCTGGGGACCACCAGGGACCCTCCCCTGGGCTCCTCCGTGTCCCACTGCCACTGCCCTCCATCCCCGGTGGCACCATGTCCCGCTGCCACTGCTCTCCATCCCTGGTGGCCCCGTGCCCCACTGCCACTGCTCTCCATCCCTGGTGGCCCCGTGCCCCACTGCCACTGCTCTCCATCCCCGGTGGCACCATGTCCCGCTGCCATCACCAGGAGGGGAGCAGGGGCACGGCTCTGCCGATGACGAAGCTCCAATAAAGTTTGGCTGAAATYTGAACGCAGCGGAGTCAGAGTCTGCCCCGTTCCTGTCCCATTGTGACACTGACAGTGCCACCAGGGCAGGGGGACCCTCAGGGGTGACCTTTGTCCCCTGCCACAGCCCCGGGAGAACAGAATAATGCCAGAGCGAGGGCTGCAAAGAGAACACAGTTTATTTTCAGATTTCAACCCAAAAACACCCACCAGGGTTTGGGGACACATCCCTGGGAATCAGAAACGGAGCAAGGGTCTGGGATGGAGGGGAGGAACTGCTGCTGTCCCTCCCATCGCCCTCCAGCAGAACTTTGGCTGMACCAGAGCTTCGGGCAGGGTTGAAACTCATCCTCATCCTCCAGACACAGCGGGGTCACCAACACCTCCACCCCACCCCATCCCATGGGCTCAGCACCACCCCAAAACACTGTCACAGCCCCTTTCAACCCCACCCTGCTGGCCAGAGGGGGTGGCTACCATCAGAGGCTGGCGGTGGCCGAGTCGTAGCGGTCGATGAAGTCCTCCAGCTCCTGCAGGTGGTGCAGGCGGCGCTGGCGGAGGTTTGCCCGCAGTGCCAGCCCCAG